AGGTGGATAATTGACATAGCTATTCTTGAGGATGCGCCGCTTTTCCACGGTTTCAAGAAGAAGGAGTAAGGCCTTCACTCCTACTGCTACGGAAGTAAGAATTGCAATTGTCCTGTTGATTTCCGCTAGTTCGCGTAGCCAAAGCGTCCTCGTCTTTGCTATGTCGAAAAGCAGAGTGATGGACAGGTATATGCTCAGCAGAAGAGAGGGCGTGACTGAATAATAATGTTCCGCATAAGAGAGGACCCCGAGGAACAAGATACCTACAGTCAACACCGCATTTGCAGCAATGGAGGCTTGCGTTCGGTTTGCTGTTGGAAGGGCCCATAGTGCTATTAGGACAAGATGAACAATCGCTAGAAGAGCCCACGTTGTCTGAAATGGGAGGTTAGCGGTAGGAAAGGGGTAATTTCAGGCCATTGCCAGGTGACGCGCAAACAAAGGTCAAAGATCACGGGACATGATTATCCCAAAAAGGAAGTCATACATACAAGTTTTGCCCATAACAACCATGATTTTACCACTTTACGTTGCTTTTGAAACAGATGATAGAGTCGATAGGTTGCGATTATAAGAATAACCCCAAGGGGCAATATTCCTAGGATAGTTTCCTCAAAAAGCAGAGAGAAGTCGAAGCCATCTCGACAGGACCGGACGGGAATTTGAAATGAATTGTCCTCCCGCTGGCACGAGAAGCTTGAATACACCACCATGGCTACGCTATGGTGTCCTATCACAATGAAACCACTATCATGGGTGGGCTGGAACTGTTATAATGGCAATCTGTCATGGATTTTCTTTACCTAACAATGGAGAAGGAGAAGAAAAAAGAGATTTAAAAAAAATCGAAATCCAATTGACAAATTGTTAATCCGGTTTTGCTTTGGCTTCATAGCAGCCTAGTCATCATATACGGTGTGATTAAGGAGAAAATAGTTAAAATACAAATAGAAATAAATAAATAAATAGAAACCAACTAGAGAATAATGGAAGTCTAATCCACTAGTTCCATCACAAACACGATCACAAGGAGAATTATCATCGCAAAGCCATCTGTCACCGATCCAATGCAATGTGTTCATCTGAACCCAGCGCTCGGCTATCAAAGGAAATGATTCGGTCTGGTCCATATTCTTGCAGAATGGGGTCCCACTATTATGAGTTTTTCTTTTTCTTTTTCTTTCTCCTGGTTCTAGAGATGTCTTTGCCATGCATAGAGTTTTGTCTCAGGCGAGAAGTATACCACCACTTCTACGTAACTGTGGGATGATGATAATTCGCTCCCCTCGCATGATGAGTGGCGATAAATCGAGCGTCCGAGGTAGGGCAACACGAGGAGCATGCAGTGCAATTGTGGCTTCATTCTTACTTCGTTGCACATCTCTCGGAAAGTATTATTATCGTCATCATTATTGTTATCATATTTCGTACCTGAGTGGAACTAGCAAGCATGGCCCTTTTTCCTAATTCGAGCTATGGCCCGGCTATCTCCTTTTCCATTTTTTGTTTTCGTTTTTCAAATTCTTTTTCCTTATATTGGCATAGGACATGAATAGTTACCTAAGAAGAGTCCAGTAACCAGTTGGACAAATTAGGGCATCCCTGTCGTGGTCCCCACATATAAGCCTTCGAGATATAGATGGAGTCATGGACCCATAGTAAGCATGCTTTACGAACCAAATCAAAAGTACTGAGTACTAGTTCCGGAACGAGTTCGGGTGGCTGTTGCGGACGACCGGAATACGGATGAGAAAGACTTGGTTTAATTCAAATCCCGAGCTGAGAAGCAGCATAATCCAACGTAGTATGTAGTGTGCTTGCTGAGTTCTCATCCATCTCAGCCGAGAAGCCACTAGATATCTAAAGCGGAAATATCTACATTTAGAAAAAGGAGTCTATAAGAATAAATATATAAATAAAACAAAAAGGAGAGAAAAAAAAATTCGTCACCGAATCAAGTAGTACCTACTCCGTACAAGAGAAGTTATTGCTAACGCCGTTGTCCTTGTCATAGAGATCGCGGCCTGTTATCAACTAATTTGAAATTGTAGCGTGCTACTGACGTGCTCATTGCTAGACATTTTTCTATTCGTCATGGGCTACCTGAGTCTCAACAACAACATCAAGAGAAATACAAAAAAAAAAACCCACGGAAAGCGAAAAAAAAATGAGGCACCTGCCTCGATGGCAGAATCGATAACACTGAGCCATGAAAGCTGTGGGTCTAAAGATTGTTAGGGTGTGGAATGACCAGTTACCTAGTGGTGGCAAGCTGCTTCGTTGCCCATTCATGAACAAGATTCCAATAGTGGCTTCCAAGGAAAACCAAGGGAGGAAACATCATTGCGATCAACCAAGGCAGTTGTGTGGATACGTCCACGATACGTAGGTATATTGTCTATATTCCTTGTTAATAGCAGCACTTCGGAGTAGACGGTCTTGACCCACTATATTGATTGGGTTAGAGCTTACTTACTCCAGAGCAGGTAGACTAAGATTTTCGTGATCGATGACTGTGATTCAACGGATCTGAGACGCCGCCCACTTGTAGCTAACTCGATTTGTGTTAATGCGTCGTGGTGGAAGCCTCGGGAGTCTCCAGCGGACTCAATCCGAGTCAATCGAGGTTCTGGACAGGGTACTAAAATATGACTACTCTGTATATTACATACTCGTAGCAATTAGATCTATCTGTAAGGTTACACTATTCTTTACCGCTTTGATAATTGATTGAATCCTGCAGTACCTTACCGCTTTTAAAAAGCCCCTAAACCGTATTACGGCTAACTTTAAATATTTTGATGCCTAAGCTTAGATACATCCTACTACGACTACTCCGTCGTACTACTACTAGAAAATCCTTAGTTCAGCTATAAGCTTTAAATTAATTAATAAATACTCTTAAAACATTATCAATCCTTTAGAATAATATATTCTATATGAGCAGGGTCGAGCGCTACTCAATCAGTGTGGGATTTCATGTCAACGGTTAAGGTTTCGGTAGAACATCGCCATTGTCCGGAACTACGATTTTAGTCCGCCGTCCCGTACCCATTCTTCCCCAGGGATCTTCGATTCTTAAACTAAAATATAGATCTCCGGCGAGGAAAAGTTTGTGGGACTACCTAGTGATATCCTCAGCTTGACAGCTGAGTTCATCCTAGACTTCCCCGATTGGGCAATAATCGTTGTCGGACTTTACTCGCAATTAGCTAAAAATAAGAAAATTACGAGGTGTGACAGATATCGGCCCGATATGCAGACCATCGATTTTACGACCAGAACTACTTGTACTAGTGCTTTCTCCCCCTTGCATTGCCTTTTTTGTCAACAACTTCTCCACTTCGCATGACGCTCACATTAACGAACAAACGGCTGTCGGGGAAAAATTAGATAAATCAAAAAAATCAAAAATCAAAAATCAAAAACTTTGCTGGGGTGGAAATTCAACGATGGATATTTCACCAGGCCAATCGCATCCAGATCCTTCCATTTTCCTTCGGATCTCGGCTTGAACTATAGACACCTCGCAAGAAAAATCTCCGTACTATATGCTTAGTGATCGTTAAATCGTACACGTCTACCAAGGGATGACCTTGCCGAATCTGAGGTTGTATTCGGAATATTTCCGTGTGACCCAGACATTTTAATACTTGTAGATTCCAGTTAAGCGAGCTAAAAGCCATGCGTTCTTTCATTAATATTAGGGTCAAACATCGTTCTTTCGCTACCAATTGAGTTCGAATATAGTATAGTTCGCCACAGTGATTACCGACTAAGCAAGGGAAGCACCCGAGAACTTAGTGATTCAGATTCTAACCGCCTTAGGTTCCTGCTGATCCACCATATCTGCTTCGTCCTATCCCCATCGGGGTGATGGCTGAAAGGGGTTCTTGATTCAATCCCTGAACAGGAGGTCATGATCTGCTCTATCATATCTGTAGACGGATGTAACGGTGTATAAGAGAATTATGCATCTAGGGTTCTGCAATACGATATCTTATGCACCCTGTACGAGTCGATGTAGAAGCGAACGGGAATTGATGCCCACGAGATGTTTGCGTGGGCCCAATGAAAAACCTCCGAGACTAACCAGCTGCCTGAACGGGAAAGGAGCTGTTGCTCCGCCCAGGAAGTCACTGGGTTCACTACCTGAACCATCCATAAGCACTGCAGCAGGCTCAGCGATGACTCTTCCCTGCTGATGCTGCCAAGTTTTGAGAGTGGATGCTCGACGAACCCACTTAGTCTGAAGAGAAAGAATCCTTTCACCTGTGAGAAACTTGGCCCGTTCCAGAGCCCACTCAAGTGAACTCGGCTATCTTTTCTCTACCGAGTACCTGACACCTACCCAATCTAGGATCGCCCGTATTACTGATCTCTTGTTCCAGACCTGGAAGAACTCCAAGGATTATGATGGGGCAACTTCTTACGGAGTACATGGTTCTTGCAATCAAGCCATTCAGCTTCTAGCCTCATTTGCGCTTCCCTTTCTTTCTTTTCTTTTTCCAATCCGCCTCTCCTGACTATGGGTCCACTATGTGGGTTATAATTTCTTAGGCTTCAAGCCATACACCGGGGGGTGCACAATGCACATGGGCCCAGACCCACTGTGGAAGTTCGAAAGCCATTAACTTCATTCCGGACATCACCCGGACTCACACTAAAGCAAGGGTAGATAGAACCCCGTAAGAAGCTCGGTGGCTAACAATCAAGGCGTTGATGTTTTGTCATTGGTGGTTGGTACCTTCGTGTTCTTCGGGTGTAGCGGCTGCGCAAAGCCGTCGCTATGTGAAGAAGTCCTTTAGCTCCATTGATCTATTTTCGTCGAAGCAAATTCTAAGACCCCATGATAATACCCCATGATTTTAGGATACAATTTAAAAGTGCGAAGGAGCACTGTGTGGGCTGTCAGCTCTCGTTCCTTTTTACATATCTCTATATTCCTAATATCTAATACATTTGTCTCTGCGGTGTTCTGCAGATAGCTACTGACCAGCATGGCCCACTCTACCCAATGCTTTTTGCCAAAATTTGGTCCTCTATCCGAAGGTCCTAAACGGCCTATGTCGATGAGGACCAGGACGAGCAGTTCAGAAACCACCCAGTTGATTTCGGCGTGGCAGGAAGGACAACTCGACGCTCTATTACAAACCACGTGGGCCTTGGTCCTTTACCGCTATATCGGTTCTCCAGATATTTGCTTCGGTTGCCAACACCTGACTGCTCATGATGATGCGACCCGTTCCTCAGATAGTGCGGTAATCCGTACATGCAGACTCTCAGTCAGCGAGGATGACTCTATTCGAGGATTGCTTGAGAAAGCGAAGGGTCCGATTGACCTCGCCGATTCCGCTGAGATATGTGGAACTCCGAGCGTGGTGACCAGAAACTTTCGGTTGTATAACACCATGATGATGATTCAAGATTGTCGTGAGACGACAACGACCTCGACAGATACCCCCGTCGCGGTGATTGCCCTCCCAAATGAGGTAAATTGTATGTCATGAGGTTGTTGACGAGAACCTACTAACGTTCGATCATCAGTGCCACCTTCGCCTTCACGTGAAGGTTTTGTATGAAGATATGGGCATCTTTATGGAGTGGTGGAATAACGATATATCAACCGAGCAAATCAGGACCATGTCCAGCTATTTCCAAGAGACGTTAGCCCGAGTTCTTATGGCAGATGACACGGCAGTGAGCAAACTAAGCGGCATATCAGAAAGCGATTGGGCTCGCATCTGCAAGTTTAACGCAAAGGCTCTAGAGACCCATGACCGTTGTATTCATGAAGCCATCCATGAGCAGACAGTACTCCAGCCCGAGAGCGAAGCCGTGTGTGCTTGGGATGGAAGCTTGACATATAGCAAATTGGATCTGTTAGCTTCTCAACTTGCGTACCATCTCCAAGCGCGAGGTGTTGGGCCTGAAGTTCGCGTAGCCCTATGTTTTGACAAATCCGTAAGTGTCCCGAATAGCTTGAATATCCGCAATGAATCGTGTATTTCCTCCCACCGTTTCTCCTGAAACTATCACGGCCCTTTTGCTTTGCTGTTCCCTACAATATTCTAACAGGTGCCTGCAGAAATGGAATATTGTGGCAATGCTTGCCGTCTTGAAGGCTGGTGGTGCCTTTGTGCCCTTAGATCCAACACACCCAGCATCTCGCTTACAGTCTCTTGCTCGATCTGTACAGGCAAAAATTATGCTGTGTTCCAGAAACCATGTCCAGAACTTAAGGGCGGTGGTAGAGCACTTGATACCACTAGACGGTGACACTTGGGAAGAACTTTCAATTCCCCGCGGAGACGTAAGCCTATTAACGGAAGTAAAGGGTTCCAACGCAGCATATGTGATCTTTACTTCCGGATCAACCGGAGAGCCAAAGGTTTGTTATTCTCAGTCCTACGGGAAGGAATACCCCTCAACTGATGTTCATAGGGCACTTTAATGGAACATAAAGCATATGTATCCAGTGCAATGGCTCATGCACCACAACTTCGTGTCTTTGCCAGCTCACGTGTACTACAATTTGCGGCACATACGTTTGATGCGAGCTTGGCTGAAATCCTGACAACGTTGTTGGTCGGGGCTTGCGTCTGTGTGCCAAGTGAAGAAGCCCGCCTAAACAATATCACCAAAGTCATCAACGACATGAGAGTGAACCATGCTACTTTGACACCATCATTCGTTGACTTCATCAATATCTCAGATGTTCCAAAACTTGAGAGTCTTGTGCTCGCCGGTGAGGCAATGTCTCAATCGCACCTGGAGACATGGTCCAAAATCAACCTTGTGAATGGGTTTGGGCCCACGGAGACTGCCGTTACAGCTGCAGTCAACTCAAAGGTCACTAGTTCCTCTGATAGCAGGGATATAGGTCTTCCCACCGGGGTTCATTGCTGGATTGTAGATTCAGATGATCACAACCAACTTGTGCCCATTGGTTGCGTCGGGGAAATGCTCGCGGAGGGCCCTTCTCTAGCTCGAGGATACGTTAATAATCAGCAAAAAACTGATGAGGTTTTCATTTATGACCCATCCTGGACAAAACGCCAGGGTGGAGATTCAGGCCGGAGGTTTTATAAGACCGGCGATTTGGTACGGTATAATTCCGAAGCTGGTTCGCTGACGTATATAGGGAGAAAGGACACACAAGTAAAGTTTCATGGACAAAGAATTGAGTTGGGTGAGATCGAAGACAACCTGAATACTGATCCAAACATAAAGCACTGCCTTGTGTTCCTCCCGAAGTCTGGGTTCTCTGAAGGCAGAATCGTAGCGGTATTGTCTTTGCCTATCTTCGACGAGATTTCAGACTCAGAGCCGGTACCCCTGAGACTTCTTGAGACTTCAAAGAAGAATTCAGTCATAACTCAGATACGTGATCGATTGTCGGCACGCTTACCAGCGTATATGATCCCAACTGTGTGGTTGTGTGTCGAGACTGTGCCAATGCTTGTATCCGGTAAACTGGACAGAAAGGCTACTGCAAATTGGGTTGGCAACCTGGAAAATGACCCAAATATCCAACTCGCCAATCTTGACCCCATCCCTAATGAGAGTAGCACTCGGTCTGAAAATGCGACAGAGGAACGACTGGCTTCCATCTGGAGCCGTGTCCTCAATATCCCCAGAAACCACATCAGCCTCGACGAAAGCTTTTTAAGTCAGGGAGGTGACTCGATTGCCGGATTAACATGTGTTGGTTTCTGCACAAAGCAGGGAATCGGTATCACAGTTCAAGATATACTTCGGAGCAAGTCGATTCGGGACTTAGCAACCCGTGCAAAGGAGATTCAACAGCCAGCATCTTATGAGGAAACCATTGAGAAACCATTCGGCCTTTCGCCGATTCAAAAGCTTCATTTCATGGTGCGCCAAGAGGGTCAGGGACATTTCAACCAGAGCGTGCTGACGCGTTTGAATCAACAAGTCGATGAGCATGACCTGCGCCGCAGTATTGAAACGCTTGTTAACCGCCACTCTATGCTCAGAGCACGATTGGTTGACTTTGGCGCTGATGGATTCCAGCAGCGTATTACGGAAGACATTGCAGGCTCTTACCGTTGGCACATGCATGATGTGAACTGTCAAGATCAGATTGAGCATGCCATTGCCGATAGCCAGTCAAGCATCAATATTTACACCGGGCCCGTCCTAGCAGTTGATATGTTCAAAGGAAATGGCAAGGAATATGTTTTGTCTCTCGTTGCTCATCATCTAGTTGTCGATATCGTTTCCTGGCGAATCATTCTGGAAGATCTGGAGGATTTACTTCTGAACCCGGATGATGCTAAATCGCAAACCGGCTCTCTTCCTTTCCAGAGTTGGTGCCAAATGCAAGCAAACAAATGCCAGGAACCGAACATGGCTTTGGAAAATCTTCCTCCACCGGACTTCGCCTACTGGGGAATGGATAAATGTTCTATAACTTACGGAGACGTGGATTGCGAAACATTTGAGGTCGATGCAGAGAGCACCCATGCTCTCCTGATGGACTGTCACCAAAGTCTTCAGACTGAGCCTATTGATGTGTTTCTCGCCTCTCTTCTGCATTCTTTCCAGCAGACCTTTAGCGACCGATCTTTACCAGTGATCTACAACGAAGGCCATGGTAGGGAGGTCTGGGACTCTGGAATAGATATCTCGCGTACTGTTGGGTGGTTTACTATTCTGCACCCAATAACCTTACAGCAGATTGCAGAAGATGACCCAGTAAAGACACTCATACGTGTCAAGGACCTCCGTCGACGCGTTACGGATAATGGCAGGCAGGATTTTGCACGGCGCCTGGTGGGCGATGCGGAAGACCGTGGCCATCCTAGCCCCATGGAAATTTCATTCAATTATGTCGGCCAGCACCGAGACTTGCAGAGACAGGATGGCCTCTTCCAGCTTATGAATCAGATGGCTGGAGAGGCTGGTCGAGGTGGTGGAGCAGCAGACTTCGGCGAGAAGACCCCGCGATTTGCCCTTTTCGAGATCTCTGCGATGGGTGTTCAAGGACGCTTGCGGTTTACGTTTTCCTTTAACCGATATATGAAGCATCAGCAAGCTATCCGACATTGGATCTCAAACTGCCATGACCTCCTCAAGTACCTCGGTTCAAAATTGCAGTCCCTTGCGCCAAAACCAACATTAAGCAGTTTCCCAATGCTATCCTTAACGTATGAAGAGCTCGAAGCGATGTTCTCGGATAGACTGCCGAGTGTTGGAATCAAATCTTTTGAGCAAGTAGAGGATATCTATCCTTGCTCGCGCATGCAACAGGGTATATTATTGAGCCGTTCCCGAGACGAAGGGTTCTACTCTGTGCATGACACGTTCGAAGTGAAAGGCTCACAAAGCGAGCCTGATCTCAATCAACTGGTGCTTGCTTGGCAACAGGTGGTTATGCATCACCCAATGCTACGGACGATATTTGTGGACAAGCTCACCAGCCGGGAGCTTTTCTGTCAGGTGGTCCTAAAAACCATCGACTCTCAGCCAAGTATTTTCAGATGTATGGACGAGAGTGGAGTGCTTGCTGCGTTTGATGAACAGCGCCCAATGACCTATGTAGGATCTCGGCCACCTCACCGATTTACTATCTGTCAGACTGCTGCTGGAAAACTTTTTTGCAGACTGGAAATCAACCATGTTTCCATGGATGGTTCTTCGATTTCAATTATAGTCCGAGACTTAGAGCTGGCATACGCTGGAAAGCTGGAAGCATACCGCAGACCGATGTTCAAGAACTTCCTACATTACTTGCGTGAGCAAGATGACAGCACCAGCTATTGGTGCTCGTATTTGTCAGACTGCAAGCCTTGTCATTTTCCGGTGCTTAATGATGGCCTCACCTCTGAAAAGCAGCTTCGAAGTGTTCGTCTGAACGTCAACTTCTACAGCGAACTTCTAGAAGCGTGCGAGAAGTGTGGAGTAACTCTGTCAACTGCGATTAGCACGGCTTGGGGTCTTACGCTTGGTCAATTCTGTGGCTCCAGTGATGTTTGCTTCAGTTACTTGGCCTCTTTGAGAGATATGCCCGTCGAAGACATCGAGTCTGTTGTCGGGCCGGTTATAACGCTGTTGGCATGCCGAATGAAGATGCCCGTAAATAGTTGGCTCTCAGATATCCTACATCAGGTCCAGAATGACTATATGGAACAACTATCCCACAGAAACACGTCACTCATTGATATACAACACGCCTTGAAACTCTCGGATACGACACTGTTCAACACTGGCGTCTCATACAGGAAGCTGCCACCGAACAAAGTAAACTCCGAGGAGGTTCAGTTTGTGGAGGTGGGATCAATCTATGATCCTGCGGAGTTTCCCGTTTATGTCAATGTCGAGGTTGCTGAAGATGACGCGCGCATTGACCTGAACTATTGGACGAACGCTCTGTCAGTTGGTCAAGCAGAAAACGTTGCTAGCGTTTTTCTCAAGGCTCTGGAAAATATTGCCCATTATCAAGATACCAAGACCAGCACGATAAGTGATATCGACTTTCTCAGCGAGCAGTCTTGCACAAAGCTATGTGAATGGAATGCGAAGTTACCAGATAGACCAGAAAAGTGTGTACACGAAATCATTCAGCAACAGGCATTATATCTCCCTCTATCAACCCCTGCAATATGCTCATGGGATGCGAATCTTACGTACTCAGACGTCGAGCACCTTTCAACTCGACTGGCTCAGTATCTTATAGGTCTCGGAGTAGGACCCGAAACATTTGTCGCCTTGCTTTTCGAGAAGTCAGCCTGGTATGTCATCGCCCAAGTCGCTGTGTTAAAGGCTGGCGGGGCATTTGTCGCTTTGGACCCAAGTCATCCAGAAGCTCGACTACGGAGTCTAGTGGAAGACGTTGGAGCTCATGTCATGTTATGCTCAGTTAAGCATACTGAGAAAGCGTCTCGGCTTTGCGATAGTGCGTTTGCAGTCTGCGAAGCAACAATCGATGGGCTTACAATTCCAGCAACTGTTATGCCTGCTGCTACCCCAAGCATAAACAATGCAGCCTATGGTATTTTCACATCTGGTACAACAGGAAAGCCAAAGGTGTCAGTCATTGAGCATATATCGCTTGGAATAGCTGCGTCAACATTCCCCGAGATTTTCCGGATGGGCCGGGGGACTCGTGTGCTTCAGTTTTCGAATTACATATTCGACGTACACGTGATGGAAACTATTATAACCCTTATGACAGGTGGCTGTATTTGTATCCCTAGCGAAGAAGAACGACTGAACGACTTATCTGGGGCAATTAATAGGATGGGCGCCACCATGTGCACCATGACGCCATCCACAGCAAATACCCTGAATCCAGAATCTGTCCCCACATTGGAAACAGTCATAGCTGGAGGAGAAATAATGACCAAGAGTCATGTTGACCGCTGGGCAGACAGGTGTGTCATCAATGCATACGGGCCTTCAGAGGCCACTGTAGCTTCTACGGCAAGTGTGAAAATTGATGGAGGAAGACGTCTCACTGAGGATTACAACTCAATTGGCACTGCCTTTGCTGGCAGGACTTGGATCGTTGACCCCAATAATTACCACCGTCTCCTCCCTATCGGAGCAATTGGCGAATTGGTATTGGAAGGCTGCAACGTCGGACGTGGCTACCTCAACAATGTTGAAAAGACTAAGGAGGTCTTTATCACAGACGCTCGGTGGACTGAACATAGCGGGATAAAGAAAATCCTCGAGAATAAGGAGCGCATGTACCGTACGGGAGATCTGGTTCGGTACAATTCCGACGGCAGCCTCTGTTTTATCTCGCGTAAAGACACTCAGATCAAGCTCAACGGCCAGCGGATAGAATTGGAAGAAGTTGAGCAACAATGCGTCAGTTACTTGCCAGCGAGCACACAGGTTGCCGTTGAGGTGGTTACGCCAGAAGCAAAAACTGTGGCAAAATGCCTCGCTGTTTTCTTCGCTACTGGTGATCACGAGGAGGATGAGTCAAGTCTACTGCTTTCCACCAGTGAAACTACAGCGGACATTGTGAAGAAGCTGCATAGCTCCCTGAAAGAGTCCTTACCGATTGTGATGATACCGAAACTCTTCTTTCCGGTACGTCGCCTACCACTTGCAGCAACCGGAAAGCTTGACCGCAAAGGGCTTCGTGCCATAGTTGAACGTCTGCCAAAAGAGAAACTGATGCAATACACTACCTTCAATGATGGTTCCAGGCAAGTAGCAGAAGGTGGAGCTGAAGGAAAGCTTGTGGCTTTGTGGGAGGAAGCATTGGGGCTTGCACCGGGCTCTGTCGGCACTGATGATAGCTTCTTCGGAATCGGTGGTGATTCCCTCTCAGCTATGAAGCTTGTCAGCGCTGCAGACGCCCAGGGCATTGCACTCACAGTAGCCGATATATACGCAAACCCTATCTTGGCAGACATGGCGAAGATCTGTGAGCCTTCAGAAACGGCAGCGGAAACAGTGACAGTCGAGCCGTTTAGCCTTCTACCTTCTTCGGTGCGCAAAGACGCCTTACAAGAAGTTACTGATCAGTGTCATATACTTGATGGATCTATAACCGACATCTACCCTTGCAGTCCGGTGCAAGAAGGTCTTATCACACTCTCAACTAAGCAACAAGGAGCCTACATAGCTCGACCAATTTTCAAGCTTACGGACGAAGTCAACTTGGAGCAATTCAGAGAGGCGTGGCAGCAAACCGTGGATGAACTTGATATTCTGCGAACTCGTATTGTGCATACTGACTCTATGGGATTCCTTCAAGTTGTGGTCGACAAGGAACCTATTGCTTGGACTGCTGCAACAACAATAGATGAGATCATGGATGACACGCCAGAGTTGCCAAACCAAAGTGGAGGATCACTGACTGCCTATGCAATTGTTCAACGTGGAGATTCCTCTTCCCGCTATTTCATTTGGACAATACACCACGCACTGTACGACGGATGGAGTGTGCCATTGATTCTCAAAAGGGTGGAAGAGCTGTATAAAAGCCCTTCCGCTACGGGCTCTACGCTTCCATACAAGCTTTTCATTAGCCACCTGCAGGACAAGGATATGTCCGAGTCGGACAACTTCTGGAGATCACAACTTGCGGACATCTCTTGCTCGCCCTTCCCCCAAAGTAAGGCTTCGATTTCGGATGCTGTACGTGTCGGAAATCGACATCACAGCATTGTAGAGATCGGCCGGGCTCCGGAGAGCAAAGATCTAACTCTCCCCGAGCTTATACGCGCTGCATGGGCCATCGTTATCTCAACTCATACTGGTTCCAGTGACGTCTGCTTTGGCGAAACACTCATGGGAAGGAACATCAGTCTCCGCGGAATTACTGAAGTCGCCGGGCCTGTCCTTACAACGGTTCCTACACGTGTGCAGGTTGACAACGAGCTCTTGGTCACTCAATTCTTGCAGAACATACGCAAACTAACCACAGCAATGATACCACACCAGCACTCTGGACTCCAGCGGATACGGAGGCTCAACGATAATACGTCCCTCGCTTGCGACTTCCAGAATCTCTTGGTAATACAAACAGAAGAGGAAACCATGAATGGAGACCTGTGGGTTCCAGAGAATAACCAAACCAGTAGCGACTTCTTTACTCACCCACTTACCGTTGAATGTAAAATCAGCGGTTCAAAGCTGGTTTTGACTGTCCATCATGACGAAATCATTCTCGACAGCTGGCAAACTGAAAGGCTCACAAATCAGTTCACGCATGTGATACAGCAGTTGCTCACTTTCTCTGAGAAGGACATCAGAAAGGTTGGTGACCTTGATGTAGCCAGCCCTCAAGACAAGCAAGAGATCCTTTCGTGGAATCAGCGACAGCCAACTCGGGTTGATAGATGTGTTCATGAAATCATCCGCGAGAAGGGCGCTGCCCAGCCTGGGGCCCCGGCTATTTGTGCCTGGGACGGTCAACTTTCTTACAGGGAAATGTATGACTATGCGTCGTCATTCGCTGCCTATCTTAACTCCCGTGGGGTTGGGCCTGAAACACTAGTGCCGATTTGCTTGGATAAGTCTGTATGGGCAATAGTCACCATACTCGGTATCCTTATCGCAGGTGGAGCATTTGTGCCTCTGGATCCTGCCCACCCAACATCAAGGCACAAAGAGATCTTGGAAGACATAGAAGCTCGAATCATTCTTTGCTCTCCTCAATATCGCAATCGCTATGCAGGCTCCGTTAAGACCATCGTCCCTGTAAGTCAAGATACCATACGAGCTTATGGTGCTCTTGCAAGGAAGACCCCAAGCCTTAACCGTGCTACACCATCAAACATGGCTTATGCAATTTTCACCTCAGGAAGTACAGGCCGCCCCAAAGGCATTATCATTGATCATCGCGCACTTGCTAGCAGTGCTACAGCTTTCTCACCCATTGTGCACTTAAACGAAAATTCTCGAGCCTTCCAGTTTGCTTCTCTTACATTCGATGCCGCTGTCATGGAAGTTCTTGCCACACTGATGCATGGAGGTTGTATATGCATTCCAAGTGAAGACGAGCGCTTGAATGACGTTGCCGGTGCTATTCGGCGAATGGATGTCTCGTGGGCTTTCTTAACCCCATCTATCGCAAGCATTATCGAGCCATCGACAGTCCCTTCTCTGAAAGTGCTTGCATGCGGAGGGGAGAAGCTGTCACGGGAGGTAGTCCTGAAGTGGGCCCATCGCGTTAAACTGATCAATGGTTATGGACCAACAGAAACAACTATTTTCGCTGTCCTGAATGATGTAACCCCAGGCACTGATCCTGCTTGCATTGGCTACGGCATTCCGTCTACATTGACGTGGGTTGTTGACCCTGAAAATCACAACCGGCTCTCTCCCTTGGGTGCCATCGGAGAGCTGGCTTTGGAAGGTGCCGCTCTTGCAAGAGAGTACCTTAAAAGCCCCGAGAAAACAGCCGATGCTTTTGTTACTGAGCCAACATGGATCAAAGACTTCCCCAGTTCCCTACCTTCACCCAGGAGGATATACAAGACTGGCGATTTGGTAAGATACAATCCAGACGGTTCTATTGAATACATCAGCCGTAAGGATCATCAAGTCAAAATCCACGGTCTCCGTATGGAGCTCGGTGAAATCGAGCATCGTCTGTGCGAAGATCGTCGTGTGCGTCACGCCGTTGTGATTCTACCAAAATCAGGACCCATTCAGAAACGCCTGGTGGCAATCTTGTCTTTAGAATCTTTGAATTCAGGCAGCGGTCTTAATTCTGATGGAGCATGCGAGCTTATCAGCCAGGATCAAATGGATGCTGCATATTCCAAACTTGAAGAAATTCAGAAGGGCCTTGAGTCACAGTTACCTATCTACATGGTCCCACAAACATGGGCTGTGATCAAAAAGCTTCCCATGTTGGTCTCTGGAAAGCTAGACAGGAAACGGTTGACAGCCTGGATCGAGAAGATTGATGAATCGACATATGATCGTATAATGCAGGATTATGATAACATCAAACGGGGCAATACGGAGCACCAGGGTGAAGAAGACAATGACTCTTCCATCAATGTCCTGCTTGATGTCTTTACCCAGGTTCTCAACATTCCATCATCAAAGATTGATCCTAGTCGGTCATTTGTTAGCCTTGGTAAGTATATTTCATTCATCCACGTGAGACAGGAGGCTAACTTTCCACAGGAGGTGATAGCATTACTGGCATGGCTGTTATTTCCAGGGCTCGTAAGCACGGGCTCAGCTTGACGCTACACAATATTCTTCAGAGCAAGTCGATAACCGAGCTTGCCCTTACATCTACTGTCATAGTCCAGACAGTCAAGCACGAAGAGAAGTCTGGCGAATTATTCGACCTTTCTCCAATTCAGGGCTTGTTTATGCAGACGACGAATGAATTCCAGGGCAAAGCTCGTTTCAACCAAAGCATGACAGTCCGCCTTACAAAACGGACAAGGCCAGATGTTGTGAAGAATGCCATCAAGGCGGTTGTTGACCGACACTCTATGTTCAGGGCAAGATTCAGCAAATCCTCTGATGGAACTTGGAAACAGACAATCACCAAGGTACGTGCAATACTGTTTGTAAACCCTAAATATACCAGGCTAAGCATTTCACAGGATATTGATTCATCTTATCGGTTCCGCACTCACTCAATTAATAGCCCAAGCGACATGTTGCCTGAGATTGCGGAAAGCCAGCAGTCTCTGGATATCCAGAACGGGCCAATATTCGCCGCAGATCTATTTGAAGTTTGCGGTCATGAGCAAGTTCTATTCGTTGTAGCCAGCCATCTTTGTGTTGATATGGTGTCATGGCGCATAGTCCTGCAGGACATGCAGGAATTCATTGAAACCGGTGCCCTGGCCTCTGACAAGCCACTGTCATTCCAGAGCTGGTGCGACCTCCAGGTCGAGAATAGTAAGCGAGAAAACCGTGTCATCCAACTACCGTTCTCTAATGAGCCGCCCAATTTGGCATACTGGGGTATGGCGAACTCTCAAAATCTCTATGGTCATGTCAAGATGGAGTCGTTCACACTGAACGAAGAAGCTACTGCTTTCATTCTGGGCCGCTGCCATGAAGCTCTTCGAACAGAAACCGTTGAGATTCTACTCTCTTCTGTCATTCATTCCTTCCATCGAGTGTTTGCCGATCGGAATGTCCCGACGATCTACAACGAGGGCCATGGCCGCGAAGCCTGGGATGCTAGCATTGACCTTTCCAGAACAGTTGGCTGGTTCACAACAATGTCTCCTCTGCATGTTGACGAAGGCTCAGGTATGTATAGATAGAAGAAAACTTACAGAATGTTACTGACTAGAGGCTAGACATCATCAATACTCTGAAGCGAGTCAAGGATACAAGACGCAAGATTGCGAATGACAGCCGGTCTTACTTTGCTCAGAGTCTCCTCCATCCATCAGGAGATGATTCCACAAGCTTCCCAGTTCCCATAGAGGTTGTATTCAATTATCTCGGTCAACTCCAGCAATTGGAACGCAAGGACTCCCTGTTCCAACATTATGGAGGCGCATTTGATGCCGAAACCTTTGAACTGGCAGGAGACATGGGACCTCAAACGCCGCGGTTTGCTCTCTTCGAGATCTCTGCGATCATCATCAAGGATAGGCTTCATGTTTCTTTCACATACAACCGAAACATGCAACACAGATCACGCATCCAGAACTGGGTCTCTGAGTGCAGAAGAACCCTTGAAGAGGAGGTTCTGTCTCTCAAGGATTATTCGCCCGCGCCAACTCTCAGTGACTATCCATTACTCCCGACAACATATGACGGACTGGATGATCTTGTCAAGAAAACTTTGCCTAAAGTTGGAGTTGAAAGCTGGGACAGGGTTGAAGACATCTATCCATGCTCTCCGGTGCAAGAAGGTATCCTCCTCAGCCAACTTCGCGATCCGCATGGGTACATGTTCCACGGTATTTTCGAAGTTCATTCTCTCCAGGGCAAACATATCGATTCATCATTACTCCGAACGGCATGGGCAATGGTAGTCAGCCGGCACCCAGCTTTGCGTACCTTGTTCATCGATAGCAACTACAAGGGTGGGACTTTTGACCAGCTGGTACTCAAGGCATCTGGCGAGGATGTTCTCGAATTCGAGTGCGATGAGTCGCTTGCATTCGCTCAACTTGATCAGGTCAAACTTCACGATATAAATGCTAACAGGCGCGTGAAGCTTCCACAGCATTTGACCATCTGCACGACAGCCTCTGGGAGAGTGCTTATGAAGCTCGAG